AGGGGCCAAGTTCATATGGGACGACAATTGTGAGAGAGGGTTTCTCGAACTAAAGAAACGGCTTACAGAAGCACCAGTCCTCGCTCTACCCACACAAGGGATAGGGTACGACATATACAGTGACGCTAGCATCCAAGTGCTTGGATGTGTTCTAATGCAAAACGGTCGGGTGATTGCCTATGCTTCAAGGCAATTGAAGAAACACGAGGCAAACTACCCTACCCACGATCTAGAGTTGGGAGCGGTAGTGTTTGCACTGAAGATTTGGCGGCATTATCTCTATGGGGAGACGTGTCACATTTTCACCGATCATAAAAGCTTGAAGTATGTATTCACTCAAAAAGAGTTGAATATGAGACAAAGGAGATGGATGGAGTTGATCAAGGACTATGACTTGATCCCGGGAAGGCCAATGTAGTAGCCGATGCACTGAGCAGGAAGAGTACATCGGGGACGTTACTCGCGTGTCTACGCTCATTAAGGGCACAAGTGGAGGTGTCCACGAGTGGGGTCCTCATTGCTAGATTCGAGGTTAGGCCTACATTGCTGAGTGAGATCAGTAGATGTCAGGCCAGTGATGAAGAATGTCAGGAGATCCGTGAATGGATCCTTGAGGGACCTGTTGAGAACTTTCGGGTACGTGATGACGGTCTTTTATTGTTTAAAGGCCGTGTATGCATACTAAGGAATGAGGAGCTCCAAAAGTCTATACTGGAGGAGGCTCATTCTTCGGCGTATGCCATGCATCCAGGAGGTACTAAAATGTACCGAGACTTGAAGGAAAGTTACTGGTGGTCGGGTATGAAGAGGGACATCGCAGAGTACGTGAGTCGGTGCCTTACTTGCCAACAAGTCAAGGCGGAACATCAGCACCCGGCGAGACTTTTGCAACCACTTACCATTCCAGAATGGAAGTGGGAGCACGTGACCATGGACTTCGTGGTGGGGCTACCACGAATAGTGAACAACTATGATGCAGTATGGGTAGTGGTTGATAGGCTCACCAAGAGTGCACACTTTTTTCCTATCAACATTACTTATCCTCTTGAAAGATTGACAAAACTATACACGGAGGAGATTGTGAGACTGCATGGAGTTCCGATATCCATTGTCTCGGATAGGGACCCACGTTTCACATCCCGATTTTGGCCAAAATTTCAAGCATCTTTGGGTACGAAGCTAAAGTTTAGCACAGCCTTTCACCCACAGACGGATGGGCAATCCGAGAGGGTGATACAGATTCTGGAAGATATGCTTAGGGCATGTGCTCTGGAGTTCCAAGGGAGTTGGGACAAGCATTTGGCTCTGGTCGAGTTCGCCTATAACAACAGTTATCAGGCGAGTATTGGCATGCCTCCATACGAGGCATTGTATGGGAGGAAATGTAGAACACCGTTGTGTTGGGACGAGGTTGGCGAAGCCAAGCTCGAGGGGATTGAACTTGTCGAAATCACCAAGGCTAAGGTGAAAGTCATTCAGGATAGACTCAAGGCTACCCAAGATCGGCAAAAGAGTTATGCTGACAAACGACGTAGGCCATTGGAGTTTGAGGTCGGTGATAAGGTCTTTCTAAGGATTTCTCCTTGGAAAGGTATCATCAGATTTATATCGAGGGGAAAGCTTAACCCCCGTTACATTGGCCCATTTGAAATCCTTGAAAGGATAGGGGCCGTGGCTTACCGTATCAAATTGACGCCAGAACTTGAGAAGATACACGACGTGTTCCATGTATCGATGCTCAAGAAATACGTGCGAGATCCGTCTCATATCCTTGAGAAACCACCGGTAGAGATACGTGAAAACCTACAATATGCGGTGGAACCGGTGAAGATTGTGGGTCAACAGGTAAAGAAACTGAGGAACAAGGAGATTCCTATGGTAAAGGTCCTTTGGAGGAGTGATCGAGTCGAAGAAGAAACCTGGGAGACTGAGATCTCAATGAGGGAGCAGTACCCTTTCCTTTTCGATTAGACACGCGGATTTCGGGGACGAAATCCCAAATAAGGGGGGGGGGGGTGAACTTGTAACACCGTCCCCAAATGTATTTATCTTTAAGCGAATAATTTATTGAACCCTATGAAATTTTTAGTGAATTTACGAGGTTGTGAATTTGTATTAATTTTTCTCGCGTGAATAGTAAAATGCACGTGGGGCCCACATCGGGAGTGGGGACCGCCCGATATTATCGGGACCACACATTATATTCATCTGGGTCTAGAAAATATTTATAGATGGTGGATACTTCGTTTGGTCCATGGAAAGGCCCAGAGTTGACCGATTGGTCAATAGAGGCCCAAATACCGGTATCGTTAAATTTATCAGATAAAAGCCCGAAATTGGATTTTGGAGACTTATAAATTAAAGTGGGGGAATGCATATTCATTCTAAATTTTATAATGATTAAGAACACGTAATATATTTATTTAACCCGATAAAATAAAATATATCTAAAACAGTCCGGAAAATACAACTTTCGGGGCAAATTGTACACTTTGGGACAAATTAGGATGACCTCCCACATGGGTGGGGGCCACCCCACGAATTTTTCAACCCTTGGGGGCTGGATGGGTGCTAAGTTGGCTGAATAACAATTGATAGGATGGGGGAGACACCCTTGACACTTAGTATACCCCATCCCTTCACTCATTTGTCTAAATGAGACAAAAACCACCCCTCTCACCTCACCACCTCACACCCACTCGTGGCAACACCCAAGAATAGCAAGGAAGAGCTCTGAAATTCACCATTTTCACACCCAAATTCGAGCTCAAGGTGGAGGATCCAAGGAGGAGTGTTTGGGGAAGGAAAAAGGTGTAGGAAAGTGTGGAAATTGAGGTAATCACCTTGCCATGGCTTTCCCTTTATTCTCCTTCTACAATGATGAATATTTATTATATGAAGAACCCTTGGGGTGGTTCTCCATGCTCTAAGTATGGATTTATGGGTTGGAAAGTGGTTCTATGTCCAAGAACGGACTTAGAAGCCAAATCGACCGGTTTACCGGAAAATAACCTTTTATAGATTATTAGTGTTGATATGGGTTTTGTGATGATAAAACCTTGTTAGGAACTTGATTTAAAGTATTTTCGAGCTTCGCCGGAGTTTCGTCGGAGTTGGTCAAAGTTCGCTGGAGTTGGTCAAAGTTCGCTGGAGTTGGTCAAAGTTCGCCGGAATTAGTCAAAGTTCAATCGAGAAGCATAGAACGCGCTTAAGCTTAATTAAGGCGAGGATGACCGACTATGTTGCTTATAATCTTTGGGTTAATCTCATGGGATTTCCTAAGTGAATACAAATGTGATGTGCATGGGTTGTTAATGGTTAATAATGCCTAGATAAAACTACTATTGATTATAAGTATAGTATGCATGATACACAAATTTATGAATAAATTGTGTATGTTTAGATGTTATGAATATGTGTGTATGATGGTTGTACCAACCATGAATTTCATTTGAGATAGGATACTTTGATACCATGAGGAGAAGCCATGAAGGTATGAAAGTGATACTTGATATTTAGGCCAATCATGCATGAAGGAAGAATTATATTGAAATAAATAAACAACTAGCATTGAAATATTAGTTGGAAATGTTAGTTGAGAAATGGATGAATTAGATCCTAAGAATGAGAATTATAAAGAATCGGTGATTATGAGCCGGGCTCGGGACCGATGTAGATAACGGTGATTATGAGCTGGGCTCTAGACCGTAGTAGATGACGGTGATTATGAGCTGGGCTCTAGACCGTGGTAGATGACGGTGATTATGAGCGGGGCTCTAGACCGTAGTAGATAACGGTGATTATGAGCTGGGCTCTAGACCGTAGTAAATAAATGATGAATTGATACTAAATGAACGGATTAACTATAATATGATAATGCCCTAGATTGAGGGCCTCAGAGATTTAAACTTTGATTATACTTAGTATAGTTGTCATTGTACTTGTCAAATGCTTCCAAGTACTGACCTCCCCTTCACGGGGGAGGCCACCTCACAGTTTCAGGTAGAACTTGAAGGTTGCTACCACCAGCCGCTGTTTCGGGAAGTTTCTGAGGAGAAGACTTGGTTCGTGCTTCTTCCGTTATGATTTCAAAACAATTATAATAATGCTCATGGATAGTATTTGAATAACTATTTGGGGCTTGCATGCCCATGTTTGCAAAAGTGTGGTTAAGACACTTTTATTAAATGCTTCCGCTGTTTTAAATGAATGATTTACATTATGTTTGTTTATGGATGTACTATGTGTGAACGATATTCATGACGCCTTGTATAGTATGGATGAGTTGGACTGCGGTTGGCTATTTGTACTGTACGGCAGGTTATTGACGTGTCCGGCTAGGTCCGGGGCGTGACAGTAGAGGCGAGATAGAGAGATAGGTTTTCCGCTGCTCTCCTTCTCGAGGGAGAGCAGCGGCCATGTTCAAGGTATACCAGATTTGGTTTTAATCTTCTCGATATCTTTCTATCTGCTTCTTTATCTCTGCTATGGTTGTTTGATTGTTTAAGAACATGGATTATCAGATTTATTTGGATAGCGTAAGACAGTATTATTAATCGAAAAAGTGGATCCCTTTTAGGGTAAGTACAAGAAGTATCTATAGAAATGGGGCTACAGTCGTCTACGGAGATATAGCAGGTACATTTAATAGTCTAATCGTGATGGAACTCTTCTAGCGTATCTTATAACTCCACATTTATTTCTCTTTTATGTCCACGTCTCTTCTGTTAAGTTCCTGTCGCTGCCAGATAGCTATATGTAACTGACAGTTTACCACTTAAGCTCTAGGGTGAGTCCGACCTTGCTAGAATCCCACTCAGGCTCGGGGCCTACTGATCAGGTCGGTGTGGATGTGGGTTCCTTTTGCGGGTTATGGTCCCTATTAGGCCCAGTTGACTTTGCTAATTAATTTATCCCGATTAATGAGCTAAGTTTTATTAATCCCGTATAATGGGTTTCACGCGTGTGATCTTCAATTGGGTCATGGTCACCGTCCATGATGCCATCAACATTAAAATTTTATTTGTTTAAAAATATAATTAAAATTTTCGAAATGTGAATTTTGAGAAAATTCTTGTGGTCAATGGACCAATCCGTTAACGAGAGAAAGAAAGAAAGGCTGTATTAAGAAGATGTGCATTGCTGTATTCCAATGGAGAGCTCATCCGCTTTACCCATTTCTAATGTTCCTCAACCGGGATGAATACCATGACCGGTGCGGAATACTCGTTGCATTTTGTATTTGTACAATTTTGTTATATTGGTATGATTATTATTGTGCTTGAGCTGAATTAATGATTTTGCTTGATGGGGGACGGAACTGTAAGGCCAACGAAGGCTCTTGGGCGGTGGGAGGAGGATGGTGAGATTGTTGGGGGAAGAGACTGTGTTGCCGGTGGGACTTGGCTGGGCTGTACCAAGGGGAAAATTGCTTTCCTTACCAACGTCCGGGAAAAGGAGCTCAACCTCTCGTCTTCTCAATCCAAAAGCAGGGGTGAACTCCCACTTCGCTTCTTAAAGGTACCCAATTGCGTGTTTGTTTAATTATATTGTCCCTATCAATTCTCAACATCTTATCATCATCAGCATACTCATAGTTTCTTATTTTGTTTTGCTGTATCAAGCATCAAACGATTCATTTCCTTTGGCTATATTAGGGTTTTCCCTTGCTTTCCACGGCTAAAAGTCTGCTTTTCTTCGAATACACTTCTATGGGCCCTAAAAAGTTTTTCAAGTATGACTCTTTTGTTCTAAACTTCTCATGGATGGAATAAAAAACTGGACTTTCAAGGTTCATTTAGAAAGCAGAAATCACCAGGGAAACTAAAAGGTAAGAATGCAAAAGATAGATAAAAATTAGTTTCAATAAAATTATTCTATAAAATTGTTGATACTCATATATGTTTATTTACTTATGTCCATAATATAAATACTAATATTTCTAATTAAATGTAAATGAAAAATTAAAAACTAATTATATTTAGAGCCCGTTGGGTAACCCCTATTTTTGACCTTATCAGTCTTGTTAGCCAAATTAAGATTGATAAGTAAGGTTGGAGTTATTTATTTGGCTAAGTTGGCTGAAGCTACTATAGAGATCATTTTAGTTATTTTCATATAATTTTTTCGTAAATTGATTAATAAAATATATTTTAAATATAATTGTTCCATAGTTCAGCCAATTCAGCCATAACTTACCAAATTTAAGCAGATTCAGCCGACTCAGCCAATTTCAGTGTTACCAAACATGCTCTTAATTTTCCTATTGCAATTTTTCTAAGGTACTGTTTCATTTCTCTACAAACACATGTTTGAGTTTAAACACGTTGATTTCGCTTCCGCAAAGTTTTTTTTGTTTGTTAAAATCTCTAAAGTTTGCTTGCACTATTGTTATTATTATCTTAATTTTATATTTTTAATGTTCAAGTGATGGTAATGTTTGTGGTCTCAGAGCAATAAGAGCCCTCATGATTTTGCGGAGGAACTTATGGGAGAAGCTGAGCTTTTTGGCGGGTTTAACCTGGTGGTGGTTGATCTCTGTTCAATGACTGTGCTTTACATGACCAATAGACCACAGGGCAGAGGTGGAGTATTAGTTACAGAGGTATCCCCTGGTATCCATGTCTTGACTAATGCAACCTTGGACTCTCCATGGCCCAAGGTAAATAATTATTAAGCTTTTAATGAATGAATGATTGATTGAATTACATTCTTCTTAATCAAACGTTTGCCGTAGTATCGTCATTAACATCATCATACATGATAGAGTGCACCAATGCACCATATGTCCAACACCTTTGAGTCGGTAATAGGGGTGGGCAATTCGATTTACGGTTCGGTTTTCTTCGGTTTCGGTTCGGTATCGGTTTATTCGGTTTGGAAGAATTTGTACCAAACTAAAACAATTTGTGTTTCGGTTCGGTTTACCAAAGTAAAAATCATTAGGTTCAATTTAGTTCGATTTGATTTGGTTTCTTATGTTTATTATTTTATTTGATCAAGTTCTATACTTTAGAATTAGAAAATGAAAGTAGTAGTCCATCTCATCTTCTTTCAAGTATTATTTAAATAAAATGTAAAAGGAAATAAAGGATAGAAAAGGAAATAATAAAATATTAAAAATTAAAACTTTTAACATCTTTTCGATCACTAGAAATAAGATTCGCTTCTCACAAAAAATAAATTTATAGTTGATTAGCATTTATAATATCACATAAAATATTCAAGTAAAACTAAATGAGTCAGTGGTACAAATGTTGAAATATTCACAATTTTATTCAAATGAATCATGTAAAAATATAAATGAACTTTTTTATTGTTATCGCCAAATATCTTTTCATACAGGTAGAATACCAAACATAACAAATACAAATATGTCGTGTTAGCTAACTTTGTCATAATGAATATATGAAATGTGTAAAAGTTAAAATGATATATGCTAAATTTGTATTTTTCATGTCTAAATTATTTATTTATATCCTAAAAATGAAGAGTGAAAAAAAATACAAAGTGTGTACATATGTGTGTGTATATTACAAGTTGTTCGGTGTTCGGTTTATGGTTTTTTGGTTTTAAACCAGACCAAACCAAACCATTCGGTCTGAGCAAATTGCTACCAAACGGTTTACTTAACTAAACCCAAACCAAACCAAACCACCAATTTTCGGTTCGGTTCGGTCAAACCAAACCGTTTTGCCCGGTCCTAGTTTGTAATATGAAATTTATTTTTGTGTCAGATAAGGATTGTCTAAATTTTGAAACTACAGATTGCAACTACAAATTCATACTTACCGGTTAATTACATATATAGTTACTTACTTATAGTTTTAATAAATAAAATTACTAGATTATTCCGTCTATTGCTTCTTAAGATAATGCAACATAAAGGCATCTATTAGGATGTTTTTACTTGGACTGAAATTTGTTGGTCTGGTCTGTTTAAGTCTAGTCTGGTCTGAACTGGTCTGGTAAATGTTTGGTCTCTGTGTATTTTATAAATATGGAAGTCTGGTCTGGTCTGTTTAAGTCTGATCTGGTCTGATCTATTAAAGTAGTTTGGTCTGATCTGGGACCGAAAACAGTCCAAGTAAAAATATCTTTATACTCCCTCCGTCCCTAAAAGGATTGCCAAGTTTGACTGGCACGTAGAATAATAAAGTAAAAACTGTGTGGTAGAGAATTGTGCAGAGGAGAGAGAAATAACAGGAACCACAAATTGATTGATTAAAAGGGAAAGTGGCAAAGTTTTTGGGACAACTAAAAAAGGAAAGTTGGCAAAGTTATAAGGGACGGAGGGAGTATAAAATTGTAGACCGAAAACAGTCCAAGTAAAAATATCTTTATATAACATTGTCAATGTGTCTGTTTTTGTATGATTTTACAACGTTAAATTACTCTATAATAATCTATGTTGCACGGAAACGTGGAAATCATGAGAAAACGGGACATGGGAAACATCAAGTTTTGCTCAAAAAACGCTTATTTGGAGAGTTTTCAAAGAGTTTCCGGAAGTTTCCGAAACGGGAAACGTACTGTTTCCCTAGAGTTTCCGTGCTACAGTCTCTATTTGGCAACACTGTTTTTCGGCTTATCAGCCAACTTTTTCACCAAACACGTAACTTTTGTTTTAGCGCGCTGAATTGTGTAATAAGCAGAAAAAGTAAGGTTGGAGTTACTTTTGTGGCTATATTGGCTGAAGTTACTGTAGATGAACATTTTAACTATTTTATATATAATTTTTTCCTTATTTTATTAATAAAATATATTTTAAAATTATTTTTTTCTTAAATCAGCAGAATCAGCCAATGCAGCCACTTCAACCAGAACTTCATAAATTTCAGCAGAATCAGCCAAATCAGCCGATTTTTGTGCTACCAAACGGGCTCATAGATAATAATTGATTGGTACTATAAACTTAATGTCAGCAACCTCACCCAGTTGGGATCTTAAGGTGGTTATGAATTATGATGATGGTGAGATAGCTATGCTTGTAGTTCAAATAGTTATTTTTTGCTACTCCGTATTAGTGTAGTATTTAGTTGAAAAACAGAAAAATTCAGGTCTTTGAGTTGTTTTCTCCGCCAGTGTAGGAGACCATGTCATTTTATGAGACTGAAAAGGAACCTAAAATACTTAATTACTCGAGTGCACATTCACTATAAAACGGTTTTTATTTTGTTTGTGTTTGTTTTGGTTGAAGGCTCAACGGCTACAAAAAAAGTTTAAGTTGGTATTGGACGAATATAGTGAATCTGAAATTCCTGTGGAATCTGTGGCAAAAGAATTGATGATAGACACGACAAAAGACGCCGAGCTTCCTGGGGTCTACTCGCCTGAATTGGAGTTTCATTTGAGTTCCATTTTTGTTGAAGCATACACATCTAAGGTTCTATCTCTCTCTGCACTGTCTTTTGTTGCACAGTTAATCATTCTATATACATATAGACATGGCTTGGCTCTCTCTGTAATGATATATGATGTTTATGTTTTGGGCGGTGGCGTGTAGGGTGTGTGTTATGGAACAAGAAGCACCTCAGCATTGGCAGTGGACAATTGCTCTGAGGTCAAATTTTATGAGAGGTCGCTTATGAATGGTGGTTCGTGGGAGGAACGCACCATGTCCTTCAAGGCTGTTTGATTACATGCGTACTCTGAAAATTATTAGAACAAGTCTAAAGTTACACCTTCATGTTGCACTAAAAGATTCGACAAAGTGAAAATATGTTATACTAATGTGAGAACGTAGAATGTAGATTCGATAAAAAAAAAAATCGATGATGTGAGAACGTATTGCACTAAAATATTACTCCCGGTCCTAAATAAACTTCACATTTTCCTTTTTGGGTAGATCCAAATTAAACTTCACACTTCTATTTTTGGAAAGTTTTTAATATAAAAGTACCCTTATACCCTTACTTTATTACCTACTTTACACCTACATTCTCTCTTCCACTACACTTTATCAACTTTTTGTAGGGGTATGGTGGGAAAGTCAAAACAAAAAGTTCTACTTTCTTAAAAACCGTAAAGTCCAATCATGAAGATTATTTAGGACCGGAGGGAGTAGAACATGTTGTACTAATATGAGAAATGAGAATGAATTTCAGTCGTTGGATTCGACGATGTTATACTAAACTGACTTCATGTTGGGCGGTGGATTGGCGCTGGATATGGAGGTTCGGTTGACCAGAGAATTGGCAAGGGTTTTTCTTCTAGCTTGGTTGTCCTTCCAGCGACATCAACATACTACCTCCGTACCAAAAAACTTTCTCAAAATTTTGACCAACTATATATTTTTAATGAAAATGATTTATAATATAAAGATTATATGAAAATGTTCTTTGTTCAAAGCACTTTCATAAAGTATAAAATTTATAATTTACATAATATTATACTCCCTCCGTCTCCTAAAACTTTGTCATCTTTCCTTTTTGGGACGTCCCAAAAAACTTTGTCACTTTCCCTTTTAATCGATTATTTTGTGGTTTCTATTATTTCTCTCTCCTCTGCACAAACCTCAATCATACAATTTTTACTTTATTATTCTCCGTGCCGGTCAACTTTGGTAAAGTTTTAAGGGACGGAGGTAGTACTAATCAAAATCATCACTCAAGTTTTATGAAATGATAGTTTTTTGGGACGGGGTAGTATTATACAAGCAGAATGAGGAGCATGAGGACTTGTTAATGTGTATTGGTGGTGGAAATGAAATCATTGAAGAATCGCCTCTGATCTTCAAGCTTCTTTTCGTGTAGAGCATACTGAATCTACCTCTTCGGGCTCTATTGCCGTAATGCGGAGGGTGATGTAAAGGCATATAGATTGCTTATAGATCGGGAGCTGCTGGATTGACTACTTGAACCAAAAATTTCTTTCATCGGATTTCAGGCATTTCCGAGGAGGAGTGCATGCATTCAAGCAAAAAGGGGTCAACGATAGGCTCTTTTTTCATTTATAGGGACAACGGTGATTCTGACTTTGAATAGATCGAGGTGTTTGGACCTCTCTAATACATTGGCCGAGACATGAGAAGATGGGTATTTTGTTTGATTTATTATCGTTTTTCTTTACTGAGCAGTTTTACTTTTCACTTGCTTAGTTGTGTAGACCTCTAATTTTCTCTCTTCATTAGCGTTTGTACTTTTCAATATTTTTGAATAAATTTGGTGCATTCTTTTGCAAAAAAAATAGATATGTTTACTGGTCGTCCATAATTCTCTAAAATGAAATGTAATTAGGTACACGAGTTTTTGAGTGGCTTCGCATACAAAGAGGGTAGGAGAAAAAGGTGTGGTGTTGTACGTCATCCAGATGATCGTTCTCTGCAAATTAGTTTTGCTATCAAAAAGAAAAAATAGTGGCAGGCGCGGCCTAGCTTCTTAATTACGTACTACATCTGCTTGGACGAATTAATCAGTGAGCTAGCTTGTTTCATGCATGCATGCAATATTTGATGAAATATTCACATGCAATGCATGCAGTATATATTATACAAACAATTCATTATGATTAATTAAAAGTTGATAATGGCATCAAAGAAAAGCATTCGAAGCCCAGAGGGAAGATCTTCTCAAGGAAATAATCAGCGGACGACGGGGGGCGGCGGACAAACGGTGAAATTCGCACGAAGAACATCGAGCGGGCGATATGTGAGCCTATCGAGGGAAGACCTGGACATGTCGGGCGAACTGTCCTCTGGCGATTACATGAATTACACAGTCCACATTCCTCCGACACCGGATAACCAGCCAATGGACGACACACCGTCGTCGTCGGTTGCCGCTAAAGCTGAGGAGCAGTACGTGTCCAATTCACTGTTCACAGGTGGGTTCAATAGTGTGACGCGGGCGCACCTCATGGACAAGGTCATTGAATCTGATGTAACCCACCCCCAGATGGCTGGATCCAAGGGCTCCTCTTGTGCCATGCCAGCTTGCGACGGCAAAATCATGAAAGACGAACGAGGAAATGATGTCACCCCCTGCGAATGCAGGTAATCAACTTATATTAATTCACATATCCAAATTTAACATATTCCAATACTAAATTTGACACAAATTTGTGACACACAGGCACAAATTCTTATCACAACTTTATGCTAATTTTTTCGGGACAAGAACTTTCGAGATCCATTTCTACACAAATTCAAAGGGACCCGTGAATCTGTGCCAAATTTATGATAATGTCCTTGTAGTTGTCACTTTCTAAATATGTACGACTCAATTGTTTCTACTAATTTTAATATTATTAGGAAAATGTTAATTTTATCTTTAATTATGAATAATTAAAGATAACGTGATGAATTCATTTCAAGATTCAAGAGGTAAAAATAACCACAAGGCACTTCTTATAATCTTATTTTTATCTTTTACTACGTATTTTATACAAAAAAACCTGATACAAATTTATTTCAAATGGTCATATACAACAACAATCAAGATCAAAACCCTACAATATTAGTTGGGGACAATTGTAAAGCATTTTTCTTATTAAACACAATATAGTTTTTTCTAGCAGTTTCTACGACATCTCATCACCATCATCATCATTATCATTACCCCACTACCGCAAAGGCTCCCACCTACGATGGGGTAAGGGAGGTCGGATGCAGTGGCGGACGTGCAATTGTTCAAAGGTGTTCAGACGAACACCCAAAATTTTGAAAATAAGATGTAAAAATACATGTATAGAATTGATATAATAATTTATATAGTGTATTTTTTATACAATGTTTGTTACCCTTAACCTTTTTTCCTAGTTTTTGTGGTTGAAAAAATTACATTCCTTCAATTGTGGTATCGAGAAACAATATTGTTCAATATTTTAACCATAATTTTGTTTGAACACTCAATTTCCGGTTGCAAGATCCGTCACTGGTCGGATGTACGCAGTCTTACCCCTGTACTAAAGCACAAAGAGACTGTTTCCGGATATCTGAGTATAAAAAATTCATCTAAACACTAATACTATTCAACCGAATTAGAAGCAGTGACTATGGTTTTAGATGATGTTTTTACTTGGACTGAAATTTGCTAGTCTGGTCTGGTCTGATCTGGTAAATGTCTGATCTCTATGTATTTTATAACGATCCAAGTTTGGTCTGGTCTGGGACTGAAAACAGTCCAAGTAAAAACATCCTAAGTACTACTAGTGTTTTTTAGGAACCGGAACCGGGGGCACTTGCCCCTCATGCCCCATAGGCCCTCCATTAAGTCCCGACGTGAGTAGCGGTCTGCAAAAATGGAATTTTCGATTTGAGCGTGTGACTCGGGTATTGAGAAGGATAACTGGAGATTTGGGGTTATGTTATACTCCCTCCATCCCGCTAAAAATGAGACCAGAGAGAGTGACACGCAAATAAATAAAAAGTGGTTTATGTGATTGATATTGAATTGATAAAGTAAGAATAAAGTAAAAATGATTTAGAGCCACACAAACTTTACCAAATTTGGTACGAGAAATCTTAGTGGGACACACCGATAAAGTAAAATGGGACAATCATAGCGGGACGAAGGTAGTAAGTATTAAGAGAAAAATGGTAATATAAAGTCTTATTTAGAGAATACTAGTATAAGACATGAGCTCATTTGGAAACTCTGACCATATTTTACTTCTATTCAGGGGAATTTGCTAATTAAAGAATTTTGGTTGTTTCATCAGGTTCAAAATATGCGGAGACTGTTACATGGACGCCCAAAAAGATTCGGGGATGTGTCCAGGATGTAAGGAACCGTACAAAGTTGGGGAGTATGAAGAAGATGTAGCGGCACCGGAGTATTCTCGAGGAGGAGCATTGTCTTTGCCAGGGCTAGGCGGTTCCAAAAGGGACAACAACAGGAATAATAATAACAACAATAATGATAATAATATGTCGATGATGAAAAGGAACCAAACTGGAGAGTTCGATCACAATAAGTGGTTGTTCGAGACACAGGGCACTTATGGGTATGGTAATGCCTATTGGCCTCCTGACGACATATATGGAGATGACGATGGCGATGGTCATGGAATGAAAGCAATGTTGGATACATCCGCTGATAAACCTTGGAAGCCACTCAGTCGCAAATTGCCAATTCCAAATAGCATCATCAGCCCATATAGGTAATTACTTGCTTGATTCCTATCACAAATCTTCAAATATGAGTATCATTATTTTCTTCTTAAAACTGGACCCATAATCTTGAATTTTTATTCTTTTAATAGGACTATATAAATTATACAGAGTATGTTGGTAAGAAAATATATTTAATTCTATTATAGAAATTTTGAGCAATTTCTTTAGAAATTTATTCTTTTTTAGCTAGTACTTGAATGAGTGATGTATGAGTAGGAAAGGCTATCATTTGAAAAAGAGTGACTTGCTTTGAGATTTAAGTCATGGGTCGTAGCTAAATTTTGATCGACCACTCTACATGTTTTTTCTAGACCTCGATCCCATGCAACTACTATACCATCAATATGTACGTGAAGCATGTGATTATATATATTTCAGGTACAATAAACGATTTAATTAATGCCCGGAGGAATTGAATGGATATGCAGGTTGCTGATTGCAGTTCGGCTGGTAGTGCTTTGTTTCTTCTTAACATGGAGGATAAAACATCCAAATGACGACGCAATATGGCTGTGGGTGATGTCAGTGACATGTGAAATATGGTTTGCCTTCTCATGGATCTTAGACCAAATCCCGAAGGTGAGTCCTTGCAACCGCAGCACAGACTTG